ACAAAGATTAAAATAGCAAATGCTTTGTTTGCGGAGACAAATGCATGCCTATCATGTGAATTGTTGAGCGTGATTTGCACATCGGGGTCAGGAAAAACTACCACTGCACAGTTCATAAATCAATGCAAAGAATTTGTGATTATATTCCTGACCATTATTTAGCAGACGCCATCTATAACAGCACATGCTGTGAACAGGTGTGGTTGCTTCATGTATTTTATGCAATTTTATGCAATTTTTACGAAATATAGATTTAAAAACTTATAATTTAGTAAATTACGGGAGTATCAAAAACCATCAGGTAAATTATCAAGAAAGTTGAGCAGCAATTTTATCAATCCTACAATCACAATATACTATCACAAATACATAGATAGGTTACAAATGTGATATATACCATGCTAACCTTCGACAGACCTTAATCACATGACTACCCCGTTATAGTGATAGAACGTTTTTTTTTAATTTTCATGCCAGTATGAACGCAAATCTGTTACATTCATGTTTGATATGGATGTAACCGATTTGCGTTCATACAGACATGCAGATTTAAAAAGCGCCGTTCAATCCATATAATTACATATTTACTATGGATCAATTGGTCGGAACAGCACTGTTAAAATCAAATTGGCGCCAATAATTAACCGTAGTCATTTGAACGTTTGACGCAGGTGCATTCTCAATGTTATCCGAAGCGAAACGACAAGACTCTCATTGAATAAGGTAAATCTTAAGTCACGTGAGTTTTTGTTAACATTTAATGATTCAACGTCTGTTAGATTGCAGTTACAGCCAATATGGATGCAATCTGGGTGACAAATAAATAGAAAGTCGTCCGTTATGTAAAGTTCATATAGTGGGTTGCAGCGCAAACGTAAATATATGAGTGTAACCTAGCGCCCATTAAATAAATAGTGTTATGGCCTCACGTGTAATAACACCTTTGAGGGTTTTGATTGGTCAGTCTTTTCACATTTCGTTTGTTAATACGCGTGACGTAGTCTGTAAACATAACTTCATTTTTTACTGCGAGTCGTAGTACAAACCGTATGTCTTCTTTCACAATCAATGATATGGTCAGTATAGGCAACAGTGGGTTTGCGAAAATCATACTTGTTAAAAGACCTAACGATTACACAGCGTGGATGGACGAAGTTACCGCGTCCAAAACTGGTATCTGACGAGCCAACTAGGCCTAACAGTCAATGTTACAGGGAATACCAACCAAATTATGCAGATAACGGGTCATAGAAATATATAATCTGTAAATACTTACAGTCAAATATCCGTCCATTCAGGAACTAAACCACAATGTCAACAGAATCAGTTGACTCCGACTTGAAACAACAACATGGCCACCCAAGAGCCATTAAACGAAGAAGAAGCTGTACACAAAAGTGCCTCGTTTGCCCAGACGTTTTAAAAGGTTTCATGGGAACAAAAAGTATGGGAGTTGCGTCTTAATTTGAAATTTTCAAACATATATATGCATCTCTGCATTATGTTGTCAAACAATTCATTGATACGTCAGAACTAAATAATTAATACATTTGTCTGCGATTGGCACACTGTAAGTCCCGTCATGTGAACGTCATACTGTACAGTCCCGTGCTATAAACGTCACATTGTACAGTCCCATCCTGTAATTGTCAGACTGTACAGTCCCGTCCTGTTATCCCCTCACTGTACAATCCCGTACTGTTAACCACACATTCTACTGTCCCGTCCTGTTAACCACACACTCTACTGTCCCGTCCTGTTAACCACACATTCTACTGTCCCGTCCTGTTAACCACACACTATATTGCCCCGTCCTCTTATCCTCACAATGTCCAGTCCCGTCCTGTAAACGTCACACTGTACAGTCCCGTCCTGTTACATGTATCCCCACACTGTATAGTCCCGTCCTGTTATATGTATCCCCACGTTCTGTAGACGTCATACTGTGATGTCTCTTCCTTTTAACTTCACACTGTACAGTCCCGTCCTGTAATTGTCACACTGTACAGTCCCGTCCTGTTATCCTCATACTGTACAGTCCCGTCCTGTTATCCTCACCCTGTACAGTCCCGTCCTGTTATCCTCACACCGTACAGTCTCGTCCTGTCATCCTCACACTCTACAGTCCCGTCCTGTTATCCTCACACTGTGCAGTCCCGTCCTGTTATCCTCACACTGTATAGTCCCGTCTTGGAATGTCACACTGTATAGACCCGTCTCGTTATTGTCACACTGTATAGTCTCGTCCTGTAATTATCACACTGTATAGTCTCGTCCTGTAATTGTCACACTGTACAATCTCGTACTGTAATTGGAACCCCACACTGTAAAGTCCCGTCCTGTAAACGTCACACTGTATAGTCTCGTCCTGTAATTGTAACACTGTACAGCCCCGTCCTGTTAACGTCACTCCACATATAGTCATTTCCTGTAACTGTCATACTGTACAGTCTCGTCCTGTTATCCTCACCCTGTACAGTCTCGTCCTTTCATCCTCACACTGTACAGTCCCGTCCTGCTATCCTCACACTGTACAGTCCCGTCCTGTTTTCCTCACACTGTACAGTCCCGTCCTGTTACATGTATCCAGTCCCGTCCTGTTACATGTATCCCCACGTTCTGTAGACGTCACACTGTGAAGTCTCTTCCTTTTAACTTCACACTGTACAGTCCCGTCCTGTAATTGTCACACTGTACAGGCCCGTGCTATAAACGTCACAATGTACAGTCACGTCCTGTAAACGTCACACTGTACAGTCCCGTCCTGTAATTGTCACACCGTACAGTCCCGTGCTATAAACGTCACAATGTACAGTCACGTCCTGTAAACGTCACACTGTACAGTCCCGTCCTGTTACATGTAGCCCCACACTGTACAGTCCCGTCCTGTTACATGTAGCCCCACACTGTACAGTCCCGTCCTGTTACATGTAGCCCCACACTGTACAGTCCCGTCCTGTTACATGTATCCAGTCCCGTCCTGTTACATGTATCCCCACGTTCTGTAGACGTCACACTGTGAAGTCTCTTCCTTTTAACTTCACACTGTACAGTCCCGTCCTGTAATTGTCACACCGTACAGTCCCGTGCTATAAACGTCACAATGTACAGTCACGTCCTGTAAACGTCACACTGTACAGTCCCGTCCTGTAATTAGCACACTATATAGTCTCGTCCTGTAATTGTCACACTGTATAGTCCCGTCCTGTAATTGTCACACTGTATAGTCTCGTCCTGTAACTGTCAAACTGTATACTCTTGTCCTGTAATTGTCACACTGTACAGTCCCGTCCTGTTATCCCCACACTGTACAGTCCCGTCCTGTTACATGTAGCCCCACACTGTACAGTCCCGTCCTGTTACATGTAGCCCCACACTGTACAGTCCCGTCCTGTTACATGTATCCAGTCCCGTCCTGTTACATGTATCCCCCCACTGTACAGTCCCGTCCTGTTACATGTATCCCCACACTGTACAGTCCCGTTCTGTTACATGTATCCAGTCCCGTCCTGTTACATGTATCCCCACACTGTACAGTCCCGTCCTGTTACATGTATCCAGTCCCGTCCTGTTACATGTATCCCCACACTGTACAGTCCCGTCCTGTTATCCTCACACTGTACAGTCTCGTCCTGTTATCCTCACATTGTACAGTCCCGTACTAAAATTGTTACACTGTTTAGTCAAGTCATGTTATCGTAGCAATGTAAGGTCCTGTCCTTTAATCGTCACAATGTACAGTCCCGCCCTGTTATTGTTACTCAATACAGTCCCGTCCTGTAATTGTCACACTGTACAGTCTCGTCCTGTAATTGTAACACTGTATAGTATCGTCCTGTAATTGTCACACTGTATAGGCCCGTCCTGTAATTGTCACACTTTACAGCCCCGTCCTGTAACTGTCACTGTACAGCCCGTCCTGTAATTGTCACTGTACAGCCCCGTCCTGTAATTGTCACTTTACAGCCCCGTCCTGTAATTGTCACTGTACAGCCCGTCCTGTAATTGTCACAATGTAAGATCCCCTCAGTAATTGTAACACTGAACAGTCTCGTCCTGTAATTGTCACACTGTACAGTCTCGTTCTGTAATTGTCACACTGTATAGTCTCGTCCTGTAATTGTCACACTGTATAGTCTCGTCCTGTAATTGAAACACTGTACAGCCCCGTCCTGTAATTGTCACTGTACAGCCCGTCCTGCAATTGTCACAATGTACAGTCCCGTCATGTAATTGTAACACTGAACAGCCCCGTCCTGTAATTGTCACACTGTACAGTCTCGTCCTGTAATTGTCACACTGTATAGTCTCGTCCTGTAATTGTCATTCTGAACAGCCCCGTCCTGTAATTGTCACACTGTATAGTCTCGTCCTGTAATTGTAACACTGTACAGCCCGTCCTGTAATTGTCACACTGTACAGCCCGTCCTGTAAACGTCACACTACATATAGTCCTTTCCTGTAACTGTCACACTGTATAGTCTCGTCCTGTAATTGTAACACTGTACTGTCCGTCCTGTAATTGTCACACTGTATAGTCTCGTCCTGTAATTGTAACACAGTACAGCCCCGTCCTGTAAACATCACACTACATATAGTCCTTTCCTGTAACTGTCATACTGTACAGTCTCGTCCTGTAATTGTAACACTGTACAGTCCCGTCCTGTTATCCTCACACTGTACAGTCCCGTCCTGTAATGTCACACTGTACAGTCTCGTCCTGTAATGTCACACTGTACAGTCCGTCCTGTGACTGTCATACTGTACAGTCTCGTCCTGTAATTGTCACACTGTACAGTCCCGTCCTGTTATCCTCACACTGTACAGTCTCGTCCAGTTATCCTCACACTGTACAGTCTCGTCCTGTTATCCTCTCACTGTACAGTCTGTGCTGTCATGTTATCGTAGCAATGTAAGGTCCTGTCCTTTAATCGTCACAATGTACAGTCCCGCCCTGTTATTGTTACTCAATACAGTCCCGTCCTGTAATAATTATCACAATGTACAGTCCCATCCTGTTTCCCCCACACTCTACTGCCCCGCCTGTTATACCTACACTGTACAGTCCCGTCCTGTTTACCCCACCCTCTACTGCCCCGCCTGTTATCCCTACCCTGTACAGTCCCGTCCTGTTTACCCCACACTCTACTTCCCCGCCTGTTATCTCTACACTGTACATTCCCGTCCTGTTTACCCCACACTCTACTGCTTCGCCTGTTATCCCTACACTGTACAGTCCCGTCCTGTTTACCCCACACTCTACTTCCCCGCCTGTTATCCCTACACTGTACAGTCCGGTCCTGTTTACCCCACACTCTACTGCCCCGCCTGTTATACCTACACTGTACAGTCCCGTCCTGTTTACCCCCCACTCTACTGCCCCGCCTGTTATCCCTACCCTGTACAGTCCCGTCCTGTTTACCCCCCACTCTACTGCCCCGCCTGTTATCCCTACCCTGTACAGTCCCGTCCTGTTTGCCCCACCCTCTACTGCCCCGCCTGTTATCCCTACACTGTTCAGTCCCCTCCTGTTTACCCCACACCCTACTGCCCCGCCTGTTATCCCTACCCTGTACAGTCCCGTCCTGTTTGCCCCACCCTCTACTGCCCCGCCTGTTATCCCTACCCTGTACAGTCCCGTCCTGTTTGCCCCACCCTCTACTGCCCCGCCTGTTATCCCTACACTGTTCAGTCCCGTCCTTTTTACCCCACACTCTACTGCCCCGCCTGTTATCCCTACCCTGTACAGTCCCGTCCTGTTTGCCCCACCCTCTACTGCCCCGCCTGTTATCCCTACCCTGTACAGTCCCGTCCTGTTTACCCCCCACTCTACTGCCCCGCCTGTTATCCCTACACTGTTCAGTCCCGTCCTTTTTACCCCACACTCTACTGCCCCGCCTGTTATACCTACACTGTACAGTCCCGTCCTGTTTACCCCACACTCTACTGCCCCGCCTGTTATCCCTACACTGTATAGTCCCGCCTTGTAAATATGACTTTCTTTCTCGAAAAAGGCGCATTTAACGGGCGGCCCGTTACCGAACGGATAGATCTTATCATTGAAAAGTTTCAAAAATACTGTTGTACAAATTTCTGTCATTTTTTTCTCTCATATTGTTAGAGTTGGCAAAGAACTAACACCAGACCGATTCGGAGGCTTTTGGTATAATTCGTTCTACTAGTTTTAATTCGCCTAGAAATGTACATCCTAAACAAAATGAAACAGTACACAACTTTATATACCGGTTTCCTGTCTTATGCGATTTTCAAAATCGCAGTTCATCAAATTCGTCTCAAGACCAATTGAGGTTTATAACCCATAAACCTCAACAAAATCAGGATTAAATCCTTAAATGACGTAAAATGCATGCGGAACGCAAAGGGTTAAATTAGTTTAGTCATTCTTGTTTGCCTTAAAAATTGGAGTCTCCTTGATCCGTTTATAAACAAGTATGAGTTATATATGTCATTGACCCTATACATAGTGATTTGACCGGTTTGGCAGACGTTAATTTATGAAATGTCCGCTGTAGATTTCAGATTTCAGATTTTATTTCCAACACTCAGACACATGGAAATGTGTAACATGAGGTACATGTACATGAATTCATATATTACATTTTGACAGGATGGACAGGTGCATGCATGTATACAAGCAAAACTGTATTGACACTCAGACACATAATATGTGTTACAATATGCTGTAGAGACCTGGAGTTGTAGCGAGTCTTTACAAAAGATCTGTCTATATTGAAAAGAGTGCTAAGGGGCGAAACGGAAAACATGTTACACGTGTGCCCGTCCCCCCCCCTGACTGAGTGCAATTAGGCGAAATGTCTCTATGAATTTTGACAGCTGACTTCGCCACACTGTGGCTTAGTGAGTTGTTTTCAGTGATTGAGAGCTATAGTTATGGCAGAAAACAGTTTCCATTGTAAACAAGAAGGACAATTCCAACTGGAATGAAGTTACAGATTGAGGTTGTGACACGAAAGTCCTTACAAGTCATAGAATTGATCCCATTATATATTTGACCCCTGTGACCTTGAATATTGGTAAAGATAATTCATTTGAACAAACGTTTAAATGTGTCTAAATAATAGCAACAATGTTGTGAGTTTTAATATCTATTTATTATAAAACAATGCTGTATCATTCAGACAATAACATAAGGCATCAAAATATGAATGTTTGTGCCAAGCGGTTAAGGTAACACATACTATTCGATTCCTTTCAGACCCTCACTATACTTCTGAACTTGTACGTCACACACCTTCGTTATAATTATATAGCCCTTCTGATCCATAAACAGACTCAATCTTTATTAGCTTAGCCAAACTTTGAGCAACTCGGTCCGGTACGTAACTTATATTTTATTGGCCAATTTTTCAATTATGTTATTACGTAACAATACTTTTTGCTTGCATCTCCAAGTATAACGCCATGCTTAATGGCAATTATACTGTTTGATTCACTCTAGTGCAGAAAGAGACACAGATTTCTGCCCATGACGACAACGATATAATGCGAACTTTAAGGATCCCTGTCCCGCTTCACTGTGGTATTTCGTATATGCAGTTACGTCGCTTTATTTGTTTTTTCTTTTCGATATAACTGTAGCACAGAATGAGTCAATTAGAGTCTGGTATACCTTATCAGTTAGAACGATAGTACTGTATAGCAATCTGACGTCCGGGGTTCGAATCAAAGTCTGGATTTGCTGATTTTTTTCCATTAAAACACTGTTATTGATTATGATTTGTTTATTTCATCTTTATCTATTTTTTTCAATGCATGATTTCTTTTCATAATTAATTCATCAAAGTTATAGTCATGCCGGGGAAAAAATATTTCTTATGCATAATTACAGATTTTGGCAGTGAAGGATCCTTAAGGTATTGCATTTTTCTCTCTCAGATATTTAATTGATGGTAAGAAATGTTGTTCGCTATATGGATTAATAGAAGTCTGAGCTTCTAATTCTTTAAAGACTAGTACTAAGATAAGGCAAACGAGTACAGGCAAAGTACTCTTAGTAATCTTTTGTGCATCGGGTGAAGAAACGAACAACATAAATTACTAGCTGACACGACAAAGACAAATTGTCATTCCGACGACTTATAACTGTAATTTAAAGCTAAAGGATAGACATTCAACACTGGATATGATTATGTAATACTTAAATTTTATACCTGTGTTCTGACTCGGACGGTAATCTGTCAATTATATATCCGGTTAGATTACACGTACAAATTGAAAAAAATATATGATGTAAGGGCGTCGCTTATTACTTTCAGTGTGTTTCGTACGTCAGGGTCCCTAATTATCTAAACAATTTGATTTTGCTTGAACTAACGGCGTCCGGAAGAGAAATTTAAACGTAATTACTAGTGTATTCTCGATTTACTCAGGATCTGATAAGACCATTGTTGACTCAGAGACGATCAATGGAGCGTTGTGTTTTCTTGTGAATTTAGTGTTTCTTTGAATCATTAAATATGCATATAATTAGGCACTCGATGTAAAACGCCTGGTCTGTACGAAAAGTGGGACAGGGATCGATCATGAAGATGTACATATATATGTAATTACAATAGAAGTAATCAAATATTACAACAGCTCAACGATAGGTGATTGAATTTCAGCATTACAACTTTCTGACTGTTACATTATGGAAAGACTTTAAAGGTCTCCGAAACTGACAAAATGGAAAACAATCATTACTTAAAGATAAGATACTTTG